TTCATCGTAATATTACCGTTTGGATTTTGAGTGAATAGTAATTACCTTAAGTATTTAAGTGATTGGTGTTCGAAATGCAAAAATCCAATAGGGCAGAAGTTTAGGTAAATGTGAATGTTCTCGAAGATGTAACTACGTAAACTTCTTGAATAAAATATTCGAATATTTAACTGAATAGGAATACTCTAATTGAAGAAAAAACACATTTTGATACTGAATATTCGCAACTGTTTTTTCAATCTTTAATAAACACATTTCTTTGAAGAACTATTACATCGCGATAGAGCACTTTGTGTTTTTAATTCACAAAACGATTTTTCGTCTTCACAGAGACGCGAAATTCTTTTTTTGTTTTTCAGCAGATTTAAAGGTTAGAGGGAAGTATAATTTGCAGTTAATTTTATGGCACATTTCTGTTCAATTAATGCAAGAACAAAGCTGAATGAAAAATGAAAACTGAGACGTTTACATATTTATTGACTTTTAAAGAAGTGAAACTTTTGTTATGAGTAAAATTTTAAAATGAATGAACTGGGCAATTTTGAATTGAAGACAATTTGAGTGGAGATGACACGATTAAAGCGCTCCATCTGAAGTTGCAGTCGGTTTGCAAATCGTATTGATGTTGCCTCGATTCTTATGAAGTTTCTATGGTGTGAATGTTGTCCAAATGTCGTTTTAGACCACTTTTATAAATTTCGCAACGGAACGGCGTTTCGCCAGTGTGCGATCGCATATGCAATTTCAAATAAGATTTCCCATGAGTGACAAACTTCTTGCAGAGATGGCATTCTAAGCAACGTAAATTGCTTCATGTTCAGTCTTCAGAGAAAATCTTCCGAAACAGCCCTTGCAATGGAACGGGAAATCATCGGTGTGAGTTGTAGCATGCACCCTTGTGTGAATTCTTTTCCACACCAGTCGCATCGATATGGCTTTTCGCCAGTATGCGTTAACATGTGTCTGTCGAAACTTCCCTTATGATTAATGGAATATTCACAAAAAGTGCATCTGAATTTATTCCTCATCGATTGTTCTAATGCAAATCGTGGACTACTTGCAACCATTGTCTTCTTATTTCTGGTCTTTTGTCCACTGAATAAGCATTGGAAAGTCGTTGTCCATCCTTCGACGTACTAACAACTGTCATCGATACATTGTAAACGCCCCTCTTTCCATTCATGTCATTCAACGTGGCGTGTTGACCTTCAACAACAACCATTGGATTGCTCGTTCGAATGCGGTTTGTGGCACCATCGTTGCTAACTGGTTCCTGGTCAAAAGTGGAACTACATTTTTCTTCTTTTAGCTAAAAATGAAAAAAATTGAATATGAATTCTGAAAAAAATCTCGCCACCTTTTCGAGATAGTGAAATTATTTCGTTGAAAACCTAAATAAAACCATTGTTATGGTCAACAAAACATCTCACTACTTCTCGCAAAAAGTAAAAAAAAATCGCATCGACATTTGAATACAATGGAATCCGATTGTTTAAAATCTCACATTTCGTAATAGAAATTTCGAAATGTGCACAGAATTCCGCCACAGAGCCAATCCGTAGAAACTTCATATGAACCGAGCATACAACAATGCGATTTCCAAACTGATTCCAACTTCCAACGGAGGAGTTAAACGTGTCATTTCTACTTTAAATTGTGTCCAATCTAAGGAAATTCAACTCATTCAGTTTCAATGATTCTTTTTCACTTGACGCATCAACCAAATATATGTAAAATGTTACTTATAAACACAAGTTTGGCTTCTTTGAATGTGAACATCTCAATTTTTATTTTTTTCCACAAACATTATTTCCTTTTGATATCAATAAAAGTTTGAATAATTTCTCAATGTAAATTTTCACAATGCACATTATACATCAGCGAGGCGAGTTGAAATCGCCGAAAATTCGATATGGCGAAAACCGATTGACAGTTCGTGCCTTGAAACTTGATGCCATTTTGCATTCAGACATCATCGGTGCAGGACGCTTTGCGCGAACCAAATTTCCTCAGGCACATTCATTTATTGTTGAATAATGAATATTCTTCAAATTTTTTCCACTCTGTGAGTATATTCAAATAAATAAACCATTTCTGTCTAAAATTAGCTCAGAGTCATTTGGAAAATAACTTTCTTTCAGTTTGGTAGCAAGCAACGACTTGATCAGGAAAGAGAAACAGATGAAGGAATGGTCCATCAAATCGATGAATTAAATGCCAATGAAAGCTGTAAGCTTAATCGGGAAATCGTCATCAATTCAAATTCAGTCTTGGAAACAGATGCATCAAATGAACCAATCGAGATCATCCAAAATCAAAACGATTCCACAAGTGTTAATCATAAAGCAAGCAGTCAAGAGGCAGTAAGAGGTGAGGCTGTTGGCCAAAAGGAATTTGTCGAAGACAATGACAAAGATCGAATCAAGAAAGACGGTGACATCAAACCAAAGGAGGAAAAGGTGGATGATGATATTACTGTGGTCCTCATTGAAATGAAACGGGTGGTCGTTGCTCCATCAAACAAGCAAGAAGTTTCTCGCCAAGCAATTAATGGACATGAAACAATGGGTAGTTTGGACAGTACACTGAGAAAAGGCTGGAAGTAAATTCGATTCATTTGCAAAGTTTGTGAATATTCAGGAAATTACAAGGGACATTTCAACATACACATGCGAATCCACTCTCGTGTGTGTTCACATATGTCTGTTGAAAGTTCCGGAGTAATTACTGGAATATTCACAAACAGTGCATCCGAATTGTTTTTTCAGCTTCGATTCTGTCGGTGTAGTTTGTTTGCTTTGGTTTCCGTTGTGTTTTTCAGAGGGTTTGAACCCGGGGACAAATTTGTATTGGCCGATCTAGTCAATGTGACATTCACATTAATTGAACCCGTGTGCATAAAAACGACTTATAAAAACGTCGTCGAACAAAGCGAAACACATATTTGTTACTCGTTCAATTCGGAACAAATTGTACACTGGTGTGTTACGCCGACAAATCTATGTTACGTTTTGATCGGCGATTTTTTTTTGTAATTCGTTTTTATGCTCACGGGTTCAATTGCTTCGCGTGAAACTTCTTGCTTGTTTGATGGAGCGACGACTACCCGTTTCACTTTAATGAAGACCACCGGAATATCACCATTCAGTTCCCTCTTTTGGTTTGATGTCAACGTCTTTCTTTATTCGATCTTTGGCATTGTCTTCGCCACTTTTGCTAAAGTTAACTGTCTCTACTTTTTCTGTCTCTTGACCGCGCTCGATTGGTTTGTTTGACGCATCTGTTTTCACAACAGAACTTGAATTGATGACGATTCCCTGATTGAAGCTATCATTGGCATTTAAATTGTCGATTTGGTGAACCGTTCCTTCATCTGTTTCGATCAAGTCGTTGGTTGATACCAAACTGAAAAAAAGAAGTTATTTTTCAAACGATTTTGAGATAATTTTGGACACAAATTGTGTAAAAATATTTTATACATTCACCAATGATTGTCATCGTGTGAATCAGATTGCATTCGTGTCAATGTGAAGTGTCCAAGCTGAAAAATTTATAAACTCGAATAAATCAGAGAGGTGCATGTAAAAAACTCGAGACTTTTAGTTTGAGTTTGAATCTACCGTATGTTTGACATCTGCTAAAAGTACTGCTTGAACTTTGAGTTGAAAGACAGACCACTTCGACCATTTTTATGTTAGCCAGTACATGCTAATGCGAATAGAAAACCTTCATTATGAACAAATGAATGGAAGAATAAAAACACCATCAATTTTTCATTTCATTTTCTCGGTTTTATTATAAATCATTGGGCCTCTTCTACAAATATAACCGCGTTCTAAAAAGATTTTTTATTTCGATTGTTGTGAAACGTTCGGAAAGTAAAATGTTGAAAGAATGTTCTTATAACAATGATACCATCAAACTATTTCTATTACTTTAATCAATTCGTCACGTAAAAACATTATTTTAGCTTGAGCGTTTGAGTACAATATGCTGTTCTATTATTTCTATTTTCCAATAGGTTTTGTCTGTAGTTTCGAATAATTGATCAGGTTGAAATTCATTTACATCAAAATATTTGCACATGAACGTTTGTGTTTTAGAGTTTTCACCGAGATATTCACTTATTTGATCATACGAGAGTTGAATATCCGTGAATGATATATCCTTAACTGATAACTTTGGAGCTAAATTCAAGAAGAATTTTCTTTCGATGTCTACTTTTGAACGAATAGTTAGTTTATTTAACTCGAGTGTCCGAAGGAATGTGTCTACGGCATCAAGTTTTTTAAATTCTCTCAGGTCCATAAATAGCTCTTCGATAAAGCCAAACGATAGTTTAATGTTTGGAACTTGCATTAACTTGAGGCCACCATGCCAAATCATATTCAATTTTGAGACGGACTGAAAGCGAATTACATCAGTTGATACATAATTTTTAAAAGTAAGTTCGTTCATTTTTTGCAAATGTTTGCTAGCTTGCCGAAGACGTCTCACAGGCAAATATTGGTTTATATTGATCTCAACACATTTTAATTGCTTATTTTTTTCGAGTATGTTCCCTAAGTTTTCTGGGCCTAACATTTTACGTAGGTTGCTGCTTAAGTTTCTGGCCTAACCTAGTTCTAGTGTTTTCCGAAGCAAAACTTTGGGTCAGTCAAAAAGTTTGACCTTTTTTAAGCTAAGTTTCCTCAGACGTCAACTGTTGATTCACTACGGATCGTGGTGTTTTATGAGCTTGAATATTTCAATTTGATGAAAAAATTGAATTTTTCCGCAAACATTTTAGTGCAATGATTTTTTCCGATTTTTGAGAGGGACTAACTCAACAAGAGTGCCGTGATAGCCTCAAATTCGCTTTGGGTGATAAAACTCGGTCCATTCCAAGTATTTAGAGGTGATATAACGATTTTAAATGTTGACGAAGCTCACTCAAAAATGAGTCCGCAGGAAAGTCGTAAAATATCAGCTGTAACGCCGGAACACATTGATGCTGTGCGAAACCTAAAGGTGGAATATTCTCATACGACTTATAGTGAGATTGGGGCATCCTTTGGCATTAGTATGACATGCATTAGGTCAATATTACATGTGGTTTTAGTGACGTAAATGCCTTTCACATGTCAAAACCTCCAAATATGTTTTCAACCAAAAAAAAGAGTTTTGGACAAAAATAGGCCTACAAACTCTCAATAATGCAATTTTGATTGGCTGAAAAACCCTCAATCGTCACTAGAGATTACAAAATTATCATTTATGAGTATAGCATGTCATCCCAGAAGGTTTTAGTGATAGTATCGTGTTTGAAAATAACAGAAAATTTTCCTTATTTCTGAAAAAACAGACGATTTTCGCAAATTGCAATGCTTCGTTCTGGGAAAAAATGATTTACATGACTGTTATTATACTTTGGAATTGTAGTGCCATGAATTCTGAATAAAGCGGACATTTTTGGAATGAAAATATTCAGAAAATGGGCCAAAAACTGGGAACTATCTGTCACTTCATGAATTTTCACCTTTTGACATGCCTTCATTCAATCGAATATTTGCAGGCCCAAAATATAAAATAATGGTTTCGTTAGCCAGAAATTATTAAATTGAGGATAAACGAAGTTTTTTAGGTGGTTAACAACAGAATAATCAATTTTTCCCACATCGAAAAATGAAGTTTATTGTTGAAATTTACGATTTTTCCAGGTATCCCTTGGAAAGGAGGCTTAGACACACCCAGTAATGTAAAACAATCCCTGCTATAGTGTTTTTTAGCCTAAAAAATGTCAAAATTTCCGATGGAATCGTCAGATTGCATCTGAAAACACTAGAAATAGGTTAGGCCAGAAACTTATGCAGCAACCCTCGTATTATCAATAATTAATTTTTCTAATGCGGGAAATTCTGTTTCGAATGGCCGATACATCGTACATTCACCAAAAAGTGACAGATTTTTCATTTCTGGAAATGATATGGTAGCGTCACTAGATCCGAACTGTTTGAATTCTTTTTTCGATGTAGTCGTGAATGATAATTCGACTATTGTACTGCAATATTCTCTTGCATAATCCATTGCCTTGATGGAGAATTCAATATTGATCAAACTATTTCTAATTGACAAAATCTCAATGAGGCTGCAATAGTTACGAAGTAAAGACATGGCACTTCTTAAGTCATATACTTTTATGGAATCGTCTATTAATTGCAATGGGATCAATCGATTGGCTTGAGTAACGCATATTTCAAATTTGATTTTTCTAAACTGACGAGAAAATACTCGATAAGTCACTTCTTTAAGGTATTGGTTTCTATTCGCGATAATCAATAGCTCGTCTAAGTTTAAATATTTGAAGATTTCTAGCAAACAATCTTGGGAAATATTAGTTAATTTTTTTCGATCCACGTTTGAAGACGATTCATTAGGTTTCAATTGCTTCGAACATCCTTCTTCTCCTCCTTCTTCTTCCTGGAAGTACCGTTTCAATGCTTGGCCATTTCTTTGTTGACTCATTTTGGACAATTCGAGTTCAAACTTTTCCTGACAAAAAAAAACCCAGAAAAACAACAAATGAACAGTTGTAGAAATTGAATCAACTTAAAAAAAACACAAGATGTCATCAATTTATTCTCGAATCATTTAAGACACTGGCCAATATTTATGAAAAATGGATTTGTTCGGAAATTGAATTGTAAACACTCACCGTATTCACACGTTTTCGCCTTTTTTCTTTGCTGTACTGATTGTAATCGTCTTCAGCGGTTCGAGTTCACACCAGATTATCTCTCTCAGTTTCAAATACCAAAAACAGAAGTTGTTTGTGAAGATACTTTGCTAATCCTGTCAAAAATTCCAGTAAATCAAATTGAAACTGTCAATCAATTCTCAATTGAGACTACTTATTTGTTCTGTTTAAAATGTTCCAATGCGGTTGGTTTTCATTGGTTGAATGGAAATATGAAAATTCGGAAGTATTCTAGCAAACAAAACTAAATCAACAAAAGGCCAAACACTGTGAACTGTATGTATACATATGAACTGCTGATTTTTCAGGAACCATAACCTCAGCAGTTCATATCTCCAATTAAAGTTATCACGAAAGGTAGAAAAAACGTCTTATATTTTATTTCTCACCTCAAATTCTTGCTTGCTTTTGTCGTCGTCGTCTCCTTTGTCATCAATTTCGGTGTTTTTTTTCTATCGCGCTCAAGTGGAATTTAGCTGGACACAAAAATTTTGCACACAAGCAGAATCGATCGACAATTTAATTAACCAAAGTTCTAATGATTTCAACAAAATTCGTAATTCAAATTTTCTAAACTATTTCAAATATAAATAATTCTTTCAAGTTATGTCGTCCTATATTTTTTCTCTACTGAACCGCGTGTCCAAATGAAAAGACCATTATGCGTGTCAATGGGTTGAAATAGCACTTACAATACAAAAACAGGCACCAATACGACACCAATTAGACACAAACATAACGATACATTACATGAACACTGCTCTGTTCACTGTGTTAGTTCAGAGAGAGAGATGGCGATGAAACAAACATACGTTTTCCGATTGCTGAGCATCTCAGCTTTTCGTATGCTGCGAATATATCCGAGCATATCGACGACGCATACTGTATAATACAGTGGCGTGGTCGAGTCTCTGCTTTGCTCATATATATACAGTATGCGTCGTCGATATGCTCGGATATATTCGCAGCATACAAAATGCTGAGATGCTCAGCTATTGGAAATCGCACGTTTGCGAAAAACACACAACTACAAATACAAATGCGAATACGAATATGAATAATGGCATCGACATGAAACTTAGAACGCGTGCAAAATGATTTGTTTCTTCTTCCATTTTTGCACCCGTTATTCGTAGAGAAGCGAAATAAGCGACAATCGACCTAATGCAAAAAGGTTACAGCAGAGCTGAAAGCAAGCAAATGAACGATGGAGATGAGAAAAAACACAAAAGTGTGATAGCAAAGGCAAATAAGAGAATATTTGCGAGAAAAGGAATAAAAAAACAGATACATGAATTTGAAATGTGTTTGGGAAATGAATGTCATTTGATTTTTGTTTTTATTTACTTTTATCCATCAATTTTTTTTTACATCAGACGTTCTTGTTCCAATTTATTTTTCGGTTACATATCAATTTTATTTTTACCATGTAATGTTTCCTCATGTCTTTGTAAATTCTTTTTTCGCGTAAACACAATCGTAAGGCACGAAAATATATCGTGTGTTGTATTCATATTAACATAAATAGCATTCATATCGTATGGAAGTGCATTTTTTATGGCGTTCACATTTTATTTTACCACTTCGCTAGTTAACCTATATACGGATTACCAAATACAGTCAGTTGAATTTATACTCAATTTCAAATCTGATTTGATTTCTCATTGGAACATGTTGCTGTCTAACACACCGTACAAGGTCTATACGTCAGTTGAGTTTGACACTTGCCTGTCACTGTGTTTATTATGTACATTCGCAACGAATTAGAATCAATTCCACATTCTTTTTTGTTATAAAATTATTTGTTTAGTATTTAGACAGTTTTAGTTCCTTATTAATTGACATAGCTTAATTCAATTGGCATAACAACAACCGTAGGAAAATATGGAAAATAGTGACAATATCGACTCGACGGTGAACAATTCACGGCCAAATTCCACAGCTGATGACAACGAAGAAGATGAGAAAGATGTTTGGCTCAATTTGGTAGGAATTGCTGCCGATCCGCCGGATAGACATGAAAAATGCGAATATTGCCAGTAAGTTAATCGAAACCATTGGAATTAAGTCATTTTATTGATATTCTATTCACACAAAAAAATGTTCACTTCTTTAGTCGTCCACAAGTTGTGTGTTGGTGCCGTCGCCATTGTCTTTGGTTGAATTGGATTGATTTGGTAATATTGGTTTATTCTGAACTGCCTGGATTTTCAATATTTTTGTTAGATTTGTCACTTTTTCGGGAGAATTTTTTGAGATTTCGACAGTTTTTTTTAAATTAGAACCAGTCGAAAAATTCCAAATTTTATTGATTTTGAAGGTGATGTGAGCTTAGAATCGATAATGATGGCCAAAAATACGTTGCTTTTATACCCTAGCAAAGATTCAATACCATTGGATGACTTGGATCCATCCGATGGCCTATTCAATTTGATTTTGCTCGATGGAACATGGCCACAAGCAAAGGGAATCTATGCGACATCACCTTTGTTGCATAAAATGCGTCAGCTTCGATTGGTTATGTCACGCACCAGCACTTACGTCATCCGAACACAGCCGATGGAGAGATTTCTGAGCACATTGGAAACGGCCGCCGAAGCATTGGTCGTCCTGGAACGTGATGACCGTTTCCGCGATGAATTTTGGATTGATTCACTTATATTGGAGTTTGGTTTCATTCACTGCGATAGTTTTTTTTTGCTTTCAACTAACAAAATTGCTTTTTTCAGATGCTTCAACACCGAAACGTAATGAAATTTTGACCATTCTGAAGATGAAAAACGTGCTGCAGGATAAAATCAAGAAGCGCAAGAGCTTCGAGAAACAACTTCAGCGCAGCCAAGACAAATTGAGCAGTCTGAATGTCAACACAGAGGACGCGATTCGGTAAATTTTGAGTCTTTTTTCGAATGAAATTTACTTATTTTGTGAATTTTAACTTGGGTGTTTTCAACAAACATAGAATTTATTGAACAAAAATGAATTTTTGCGGTCAAAAACTTAATTTTTTTGAAACAAAAACTGTTTTTTCTCCAAATTTTGTCAGTTCTCTCTATCAATTCTCTGTCGTTCTAAGGCAATTGTTTCTCCCAACTAAAAATTGTTTCTTTCTCCCACAGAGTGTCCGAGTTGGAAATTGAAAACGAGAAGTTACACAAGGACATTCTACTGCTCCGAAACAGTATCGATCGTGGCATTGCCGAAAAGGAATTAGAGGGTAAAATAATAAAGAAGTGGCCATTAGTTTATCCACAAAAATGGCTTGGCTTCAATCAAACAACAAGTTTTATTTTTTTTGTCATTTATTTCTTCACTTTTATTTATTCAAAACCACCTTATCTTCTCCCTCCAGCTCAATTCCTTGCATTGGAAGAAGAGAATAGGCGTCGTCGCGACGAGTGTATTCAGTTGCGTTCGATTTTGGCGCAGCGTAGTCATGGTTCACCCAGTAAAATGAATGGTCATGCAAATAACGTTGATCATTCTGACGACTACACACTGCACGAAAGCGAGTTGTTGCAAGCGTTCGAGGCGCAAAAAGTGGTCAACCGTCAATTGGAATCCGAATTGACCGCTCTAACCGAGGAGAACAACTCGAAAATGCTGGATATGAGCAAGGAAATTGAAGAATTGCGCTCCGAACGAAACCAATTCCAAGAGATTATGCACAATCAAATTCGATCGACCGAACTGTCGGAGGAGTACCACAGCATTATCAGTCAAGATAACAACTCTGCGGTACAGAAGCAACAGAACGTTGACTACCTAATGGCGGAGATTAAATCGATCAGCGCGGCGTATACACAAGTTTTGGTAAGGAGAGCTTTTAGCTGTTTTCTGGCACCAGAGATGGAATTTTTTTTCATTTTGGCTCAAGACTCTTTTTTATGCAAAAAAGAGAATTATTCTTAAAATCCAACTCAGCATTGAAAAATGTCTGAATTCAATTTATGACTAATTTTATTTTCCAGGAGGAAAATAGCCGAATGTCGAAATCCATTGGGAAGCTAATGCAAGAAAATCAAATCTTGTCGAAACGACTGCGACAGAATGGCATTGATGACTCGATCGTGCCGTCGGAAAGTCTTGAAAAGTCACCAATGATCCACAAACGTGCCCCGACCTTCCAAGGCATATTTAAGTATCGCGCAGTGGATGTTTTAAAGCTGTTGCAGCGAGTCGTGGATGATTTGGAACCAGGAGTTGCCAAGACATTGACACCAGCTCTGCCGGCGTATATTATTTTTATCTCCATCAGGTAAGAGCGATTTGGTATTTTGTTTCGATTTTAATGCTGATGCGTTGGACAAATTTCTGATTTTGTGAATCCTTCACAAGTACACAGACATAGTGAACGACGACGATCAGGTTCGCAAGCTACTGACGAGCTTCATAATTATGACGAGCTTATAAGTGGCGTGAAAAATCTCTACTGAACACGACATGATAAACATGTGGCTAGTCAATATGATCAAGTGAGTCTTTTTTCTTGCAAAAAGTACATTGTTCTACACTCAAAGCCAATTTAGAATCCAAATTGGATCGATTAGCTCAAAAATCAGCCACAGTGCTTCGAAAAAAGTCTTGAAATTTAATCCAGAGTAAGCCCAAGTTAAAAAAAAATAAAGAAGGGGAAAAACTAATTAAGACGATTGAAAAAATATGAAAAACGGTAGCGCGAGACTCTCCTGAGTACGCTCTCGCCGAGAGTACAGTAATTCCAAAACTAACTGGATTCATTCAATTAATTAGAATTTATTTAAATAGAGCCAAATTAATGGGAATATTTTCTTCACAGACTTCTGAACCTCTTGAAGCAATACGGTGGATTGGAGGAGTACATGAAGTTCAATACACTTACACAAAATGAGCAGCAGTTGAAAAATTTCGATATGTCCGAGTATAGACAAGTGATCTTCTCCACAATCATCGTATCGCATCAGCAGATCATCCAACAGATTCAGGAAATTATCAAAGTGCACATTGTTCCCGCCATTTTGGACTATGATGAAATGGCACGCGGAAAACAAAAAGGTAGGCAATTTTTTTCGTTTTTAATTTGCCATCAAAATTATCCATATACCGACTTATTTACATCAATTCTTTTTTTTTCTGTCTCCCCACAATAGGCAAACGTGTTTCAGGCGTTTTCTACGAGCCACGATCGTTGGTCAATCAATTGGACCACTTTTATGAGTTGTTTAAGACCTTTGGTTTGGATGACATTTTCATCGATCAAATTTTCAAGCAATTCTTCTACTACATTTGCGCCATATCATTGAATAATCTCATGCTGCGACGAGAGCTGTGCATGTGGAAAACTGGCATGAGAATACGGTACAACATAAGCTGTCTGGAGGAATGGGCACGCAAAATGAAAATGGTTTGGATTTCACACATTCTTTTCAATTTTCGATTAGTTTTTAAATATTTTATTTTATTTTTTTTGAATTATTTTTCAATCAATTTTTCGGATGAATTTATGAACTAATCTGTTGGAATTTTTGCAGAGCAACGAAATCACCGAGCCATTAACACCACTAATTCAAGTTGCGTCGTTGTTACAAGCGAGGAAAGAAACCGATCAAGATGTTCAAGTGATTTTAGACATATGCTCAACATTGTCAACTGCTCAAGTAATCAAGGTGAGGTTGAACAAAATTGAATGACATTTTTATTGAAACAAATTCATGAAAAAAAAAATTGAAAACTCGATGAAAATTGTTGATTACATTTTTCATTGATATTCTTCTCATCTACGAGAAGAAATGGACAATTTTTTGTGAATTGAATTTTAACACCTTTTGAAATCGATCAAATTTTGATCACGATTCGATACGTTCGTAGTGGCGAAGCGTTACGAGTACGCATAGTACTACGTTCACTAATTCCCTAAACGTAGTGGTTCGTAGTGGTACGCGTAGTCGTAACGCTTCGCCACTATGGATACGTTTCTTTTAAAATTGATTGAGAATTTTTTTTATTGACCAAAATGTTATTGGCAAAAAATTACTCAATTTAAAAATAAAAAATTAAAATATTCTCTTTGATTTGATGAAAAAAATTGATGGAAAATTCGTTAAAATTTGGTACGAAAATCAAAATCACTAACATCAAGAATGAAAATTTGATGCAAAAAAAAATCGTTAAAATAATTCTGTTTTTTTTCAGATTCTGAAATCATACACGTTAGATGATTGTGAGGCTCCAATCAAACCGGCATTCATTGAAAATCTAACGACCAAACTGAATGAGCGACCGATGAAGGTGATTTGGATTTTACTTTTTATTTTTTTTCTTTCGTTTTTAATAAATATGATTTTTTGACGATTTTTCCTTTTCAACTGATTTTTGCTTAATGACTCAAGTCAATTGGGTCAAAAATTGACCAAAAGCGGAATATTTGTCTGGCATTTTTTCTTGAAAATTCTTTTCCTAATTCGCTGAAAGAAAAATGAAAAAAAAAAAAAACAAACATAAAAAGAATAATAAGGAAAAATGTCCTATTGACTAAAATTCTCTTTATTTATTGTCATTGAATGATCTTCTTTTTCTGTTTGAACAAAATTGTTCAATCTATTGCATGAAAATTCGAAAAGAAAAACGAGACGAAACTTCTTTCGTAATATTTTTGCTCTCACGCAAAATTGAATTTCTTCTTGATTTTAATTTCTTCTTTCACTCGAAATTCAGAAGTTACAATCACAAAAACAATTCATCAATTGATATAATATCTGGAATTGAATCAAATTTCAATATGGTGCCGCTCATCAATTTAACAAAAGTTCACGTTGATGTTCAATTAACATGTCAATTTCAAAACGAATGTCTTTTTCACGTTGATAAGAAGATTAATTTTGATTATTTGATGAGTGGTGCCGTCTATTGAAATTCAATCCAAATGTTATCGTACTCGATTCACTTCCACTTTTCATCTATCATACGTATTTTTTGCATTGCTTGGCATTTGGTTTGTTGTTGTTGTTGCTTGGTAAATGTCATTCAACGGAATGAAGAAAAGGTTATAACATCAGTTTTCCACAAAACATCAAGTTAAGTGGAACTAAAATTTCAGCTGCTGAAATTTTAACAAAAATTAAAAAAGTATTCATGCTAGGCTTGGATAGAACTAAATACATTTAATAAAAAGTAAATGCTTCAAAAAAAAGAAATCAACCAAAAGAACATCGATTGAAAATCATGAACTAATCTCTAAATTTCTTCTTTTCCTTCCACAGACACCGACTGACACCTTCACAATTGATGAGGCGTTCGTGCATCCGTTGAAAGTGGTGTACAAGTACGATGACACACGCCTCGAGGAGATCGATTTACCGCAGATTTTGAATTTGAAT